AGTCCCGGTGGGCAGTGACTCACAAAATGTGGTCCAGTCACCTCTCCAGCAGCCCATGCTGGTCCCTGCCAGCCAGTCTGTACAAGGAAGCTCCCAGCAGGGGGTGTCTACAGCAGTGAGTAAAAAAAAAAGAGAGAGAGAGAGAGAGAGAGAGAGAGAGAGAGAGAGAGAGAGAGAGAGAGAGAGAGACTGAGTTACTTGGCAAATGGGAGACTTGCTGAACCTTAGTTCCACTGAGTTAAGATAACCTTCCTCCATATTACAGTAGAGCTTGTGTTTTCTGCTGGATCCTCATTTTGTTGTTCACTGCAGTTAATGTGGCTGTGACTCTTCTCTATAACTGACAAAGTTTAGCCTTGTCCCACAGAGAATAGAAAGCCTTGGAATCACAACCACTTTCCAGCCGTCTTTCAGAAATGGTCTCACTACTGGATTCCACAGTGATTAATATTTCCTTCCAGATGTAAGATTTCTTCATTTTCCAGCTCATAGTTTGGCCAAACTGTGGTGCGGGAGAACGATGGGCATTTTCCCTCAAGTTCTGAGAATCAAAGGAGCTCCAGTATCCCAGATATGCTCGGGCTGAGTATATTCTGTGGAGAGTTTGAAACCCATTTGAAAAGAGAAAGGGAAGACATCCCCTTCATTCCTCATTCCTACTTATTTTTCCACTTCCTTCAGGCAATCCCTGAGCTCCTAAGGTCATAGGTGCATAGCAACTGGTACTCATGATCGAGAAGGATATAGCCAACAGGAGTAGCTGCCCCCACTGTGCCCCACTTGGAATCTCAGTTTTCTTCAAACCTCCTCCAAGTATGCTGAACTCTAACTGACCTGCTCTCAAAACCTGGCCTTCATACCTTGAAAATAGCCACCCTTGAAAATAACATGATTTCATGAGCAGATGAACACCTTTATTCCACCAACCAGCAATATCAACCTCTCTCAACCTGATTGGAATTAGGATGGGGGCAGGGCATAAGTAAGAAATGGGGACCTATTGAGGAGTCTGCCTGTAGCCTTGGGGTAGCAGGACTTGTTAAGTAGATGGCTAGAGGTGGAATAAAGCTAGAAGTAGGGAGGGGCTGTTTTGATGAAGATAGCTTACTGAGGATGCTGGGAGATAAGTGGGGGCTAGAACAGGGCCTAGGTCATCAGCTGTTTCAATAGAACCTTGGCAGCTAAGGCTCATTTGTCCAAAGGTGTTGCTGAGGTCATCTGCTCATGAAATCATGTTATTTTCAAGGGTGGCTATTGTTGAGGAGCAGGGGTGGGGGAGCAGGAAGTTCTGCTTGTTGCTGTTGCTGGGTGGCATAGACAGACCTGGGTGCCCTGTTTGCACACTTTGGGGTCACTTAGTGCCATACCTGGCCTTTTCTGTTCTGTCACCTTTTATCACCTCGGGTAAGGATGGAGATTCTACTGAAGCTGCTGGCTGGCTTTGATGACCAGGTCATATACTCTGAACAGAGACATCTGAGTTTGTGTTCCTCCAAGGCTCTAGGATTTGAGTTTGATGTCTGTGCTACTTTGTCAGCTGCTTGAGGTACAGCTCATCCATCAGGTGAAGAAGTAAGAACTATATCAAGTATAACTTTGAGGAACACTGAGGAAGGATAATGAGTGGCCCCTGACACTTCATGTCATAGGGCCCCAGAGCAGGTTGAGCTTCTGGGGTGAGCTCTTCTTGGAGGGGAATTCTCTCCAGGGCCAAGGATGCAGGGGATCAGGGTGGAAAGGGGAAAGGGGCTCAGGAAAGTGGGACAGGGGAAGAGAAGGGGGCCTAAATAATGAGAGAGGAGGAAGGGGGAGAAGCAGAAGGGACACAATTTTGTTTTAAATCTTCTGTGTAGAAAATGAAACTGCAGGTCTGGTGCATGCTGAACTGTAGCTCCAGCCCTTACTCTCTATGTAGGCCCTGTTTGCATGACTTTCAGGTCTCCTAGGTGAACTTTGAGTGTTCTGTCTGCTTTTCTCTCTGGTGTCTGGCCTTTCCTAGCTGTACTAACTTCAGAAGCAAGGACCTAAAAAGTTGTTTGTAGATCTGAGGAGGAAGGGAAGAGTTACTTCTTGGATGTGACCTTCACAATGGAATAATATGGCCTGGTCACATCATTGGGAAGTCACCATTGGTGTGTTTAGATGTGTTTTATTGGACTGGTCAAATCCCTCACACAGTTTCTGATCTTTCTTAAGGACAGAGCCCCAGGTGGGTGGGGAGGGGTTACTCTATAGTTATGTGTCTCAGAATCCACATGTTTGAATTCTTGGGCTGTTTTCAGTGCTCCTTTTTCACTTTCATTTATGCCTTTTATTCTCTACCCATTGTCTTTCTGCCTCCAAAGAATACATTTCCACAAACTTATCAGGGTTGGGGAAAAATGAAGGTCTTGTGGCAGAATGGGGCAGAAACCTTTAGTGGTCGATCATTTCTTTTCTCCAACTCAGCTGTATGTCCACAGAAACCAAGTGGCCATTATCTGAGCCTGTTGAGAATTCTGCTTCGAAACTGCGATGGGTCTTAGCTTTCCTGCTGCTGACTTAATATTCCAATTGCAGGAATGATGATTGGGTATATTACTAAGACATTGTTGTCTTATCTGTTTTCTGTCATCAAGAGATGGTTCAGTGGGTAAAATACTTACAGGAGAACACAAGTTTGATCCCCAGCACCCACATAAGCAGGCCTGGTTATATGACCAAATCCCAGCACTTAGAAGACAGGAGTAGACAGGAGTAACCCAGCCAGTCTAGCCCAGTCAATCAGTTTCATGCTCAGTGAGACACTGTGTCAAAAAAAAAAATGAAGAGTTATTGAGAAAGACAACACTCAATGTCAACCTCTGACCTTCACATGTAGCACACACATGAACAAATAGATAGATAGATAGATAGATAGATATAGATAGATATAGATATATAGATATATAGATATATAGATATATAGATATATAGATATATATCTGGATCTGGATCCTAATGTTTTTATATTGAGATAGGGGTTCTTTGTGTAGCCTTATCTGTCCTTGAACTCTTTCTCTGTCTCTCTGTCTCTCTCTGTCTCTCTGTCTCTCTCTGTCTCTCTTGTGTGTGTGTGTGTGTGTGTGTGTGTGTGTGTGTGTGTGTGTGTGTGTGTATTATAGTGAATTGAAGAATCAAAGATTGGCATTTGGGGAGCCCAAGGCAGCTGAAATTTGTGGAATACAATTTGTGAAAAACATTCCTTTTCCCACAGAATCACCTTGGTTCCTATGTCATAAATGAACTAAATGTGTATCTTTTTCTCAACTTTCCATTCTCCATCCCTTCTATCCATCATGGCAACATTTCTATGGCCAGTTTCACCACTGAGCTGTATCTCCACCCATGATTTATATTTTTGATGTTATTATCAATGGTATTTAATTTTCATTTTCTAATTACTTGCTAATATACAAAATATAATTGCTTTTTATTTATCTATTTATTTTTGCCATTTTGAGACAGGGTCTCTCTATATAGCTCTGGCTGTCCTGGAATTCATGCTCTGTAGACCAGGTTGGCTTCGAACTCCCAGAGATCTGCCTGCCTCTGCTTCCAGAATATTGGGATTAAAGGCATGCGCCACCACACCTGGCTTTATAATTGTTTTGTTTGTTTGTTTGTTTGTTTTTAATACTGGCCTTGTTAAATTGACTTATTAGATCTAGTATTTTTTGTGAAACAAAATATTTTTCTGTATAAGCAATCATGTTACCTATGAATAAAGATAATTTTACTAATTTAATTTTTATATTTATCCCATTGTTTGGAAGGAACATGTTATGTATGAGCATTATGTTTTGGAAATTTCTGGGGACTTATTTTATGACTTAGCCCATGGTCCATTTAGGTACATGCTGCAAATGCTAAAATGCTCCAAATAGTCCAAATGTTCTCGATTCACCTAACAGTGTTTCTTATGAAGAATTATCCACCATTTATATCATTGTATAACAGGGACCTAGACCTTAACACAACTGACTCCATGATGGAAGTACCATACAGGCTGTAAAACTCAGCCTTGTAGACAACACTACCTGCCAAAACTAAAACAAAGCCCCAATTGGTCAAAGTCCATAGTTCTGGAAAAGTCTCTTAAGTGTACTAACCTTGCTTTTTGGCTTCTGTAGTTCTGCTTCTGGCTAACTGTTGTTGTTAACTGAAGTATTGCAACCTAAAACATGGTGTTTGTGCTTAAAAGCTCACCCTGAGAAAGGCTCAGGGCTGCCCTGGGATCCTGAACACTCCGTGTAGTTCCTGGCCAGCTAATAAAGACTTTCTATTGACTTACAACCATGTCTAAGCAGTCTTCTCTGGTGAATAAAGTACAACAATTGTTTTTCTGTGTGACTTGATTTCTCTGGCTACTTTCAATATAATTTCTATTTTTGGTAACTGAATTATATGGCTGTGTTTTCTTTTCTGTTTTTCTTTTTTGCATATGTATGTATCCATGTGCGTGTGAAGGTCAAAAGTTACCATCAGCCATAATCTTTAATCAATATTTTATTTCTTTCTGAAACAGTCTTCTGTATACCAAGCTGGCCTTGAAATCGTCATGTAGCTAAGGATGCTCCACTCAGATGGGAACATTTTTGCTGACTGAGCTATCTTCTGAGCCCTAATTTTCTTATATTTATCTTGGAACTTACTTGAACTTTTTGGATATGTAAGTAGATTACTTCCCCCAAACTTTGGGGAAATATCAATTATGCTGGCTTTCAGTGCTTTCATTCTGCTTCATTCCTTTCTCTTTTTAATGTTGAGAAATACATATTTAGATTGGACAGCTGGACTCAGTTTAGATTTTTCCTTTTTCTTTTCATCACACCCCTACCCTCCCCACACACACTCTGGGTAGTGTGGTGATATTTTGTGTTCTAAGAAATAAAACTTGCCATTTTATTTATCAGAGTGCAGAGCTAGCCACTAGTTAACCACAGAGGCTAGACAGTGGTGGCACACACCTTTAATCCCAGCATTTAGGATCTCATGCCTTTGATCTCCGTACTTGGGAGGCATATGCCTTTAATCCTGGCACTAGGGAGGAGGAAGTAGGAAGTGATGCGGCTGGGCAGAGAGAGGAATCTAAGGCAGGCGGCAACAGGAGCTTGTCCCCTTCTAGGCTGAGAGGATGGTTAGGTAAGAAGTGGCTGTGGTTGCTCTTATGTCTCTCTGATCTTTCAGCATTCATCCCTGTAGCTAGCTCACTCCGGGTTCTTATTATTAAGACCAATTAGAATTCCCACTACAGAGTGTCACTAGATAGTTCAGGCTAGCCTTGGATTTGGCATCTTTCTATTTTAACCTTTCAAGTGCTGAGGTTATTGGTTCATCTCCACACCCAAGCAAGTGTTCCCAGTTATGACTAACTAGAAGCCAGTCACATATCTCCTTTGTCTCTTCATCAAGCCACATCAGGAACTGACCACTTCAGTATCACAGCTTTCTCACATCAGGGGCCTGTTGAGCTTCCCTGTCACATTGTATTGTCTTGCTGGGCTCAGTGGTCTGGGAACCTTATGATGGTGTTGTATGATGGTGTTATGGTTGGGCACGGATGTTCTGGAGGACTCTTCTGAGGATGTTTGGGCTGCCTTGGGAGCTGTGGCTGGGCTGTGGAGATGGGTGGTGTGCACACCTTTCTTTCCTGATGCAGATGCCTTTCAGTATTGCCTTCTGGGGTCTGAAAGCTTTGCCAGAGGCTTGAGAAGAGGAAATAACTTCCTCCTTTGCCTCCAGCACCATCCTGGTAAAGATGGCTCTTCAGTCTTCAGTCCCTTTGTTTTCTCAGAATTTTAATTTCTAGAGACTCCTTACCAAGTTTGTAGATGATGGTGGCCACCAAAATTGTCTCGAAGGTAGCTGACTGACTACAAAGCGATATGATTGAGTCTGAATTACCCTCTGAAATTTATTGTGTTAAGGTCACACCTCCCACAGCCTACTTCCTGGTCCAGTGAACATGAAGGAGGTTCTAAGAATTCTCCTAAGGCTAACTTTAGCTCAAGGATTTCACAGTGAATTGCCAAGATACTCTAGGAACTTCCAGCTCACTTTCCTCCACTCTATACCATTTTAGATCAAATTAGGAGTATGAACTGATGATCATCACACCTTTCTCAAGCCTCTGCTCTCTTCCTGTTCCTCCTCCTTTTCTTCTGTTTGATTGCTTGTTTGTTTTTGAGAGGGTTTCTCTGTGTACTTCTTGCTGTCCTGGAACTCACTATGCAGACCAGGCTGGCCTTGAATTTGGAGACCTGCCTGCCTCTGCCTCTCAAGTGTGCATGTCACCTCTGCCTGGCATTCTCCCCCAACTTCTATAACAATAATTTTCCTGAATAACACTATGTTTAACCCATTAGTTAGTTCATTGTTAGTGTCTGCTTTGAGGGAGTAGTACCTGAGTATCAGGGAGTGGCTTGAGGAAACAGGCAATAAGATAATATCTAGGACTGACTTGTCCATGGCCTAGAAGGCAGACAGGTTGTTATGTTGTTGATAGGTGGGACAGACAGTCTATGGGAAATGGTATCTTCTCTGCTTAGTATCTAACTTGTGTTGCAATGAGGAAATAAATCATTAGAGGGCAATATTTTGAAATGTAAAGTAACAAAAATTGAAAACTATGGGTCCATGGAGTCCACAAAGACAGTGGAACTAGCTGATTACTGCTAAATTGTTCCTGTTTTGCAGAGGAATATGAAGGATGGATGGTTAACAACAAAAGCCACGGATGTGAACCAGACCCTTTAACCATGGCTTAAGAAGACCTGCAGTGGAAAGGCAAGTGTGTCTATCAGAATGACAGCACCTCTAGACATTTGGATACATACCCAGAGATGCTCAGAGCTCTGCTGGGGAAGGTCTGCTGTCTGGAAATGAAGGTTGTGGACGTGAGAGCTTCAAGGCCCTGGCTTCGAGAGCAACTGCAACAGGGACTATGACTTATTGCTTCCCACTCTGGAGCATTCCCTTAGGAATGAGGTCCACAGGCATATGCAGAAGCTGCTCCCCAAATCTGTGAAGAACAGTAAGTTGTGGATCACAAGTGATGGACTACAGAAGCCTCCAGCTTTGGCGAGGGCCATTGGTCAAAGACCACAGCTACTGGCCTCTGCAGTCTAAAACTGTGTTTGTATTGGGATTATACATGACATGAAGGACTGGGCCAGCATGTTCTGGAGATTCTGGGCTCTCCTGATGGCTGACTTGGCTCAAGGACTCTCAGGTGTCCTTTACAAACTGTTATTAGACCGCATGGACCATCTGTCTTCCAAATGTACCTTCCCTTTCTCCTTCACTGGCATGGCTATTTGATGGCTCACTTAGCCATCTCCAGCTCCTTCCCCGTTTTGTCTCATTTTCACTAATAAAACTCTTGCACATTTGGTTCCTTCTTAGTGCCTACCTCTCAGGCAGCATCCTTTTATCCGGGTGTCCCTAATTGCTGGTAAGCCCACTCAGTGAATGCACATTTTGGTCATCAAATGTAGATATGTGTGTCTCTTTTTTTTTATAGTTTCTACTTTTCTGTCAACATTCTCCGTTTGCCATCCAGTCATTTTTCAAGTACTTGTCATCAGTTATTTAATAGAATGGCAAACCCCAATTTCTTGTCTGGGCAAGAATGTTTTATCTAAAATAAAATTGCTTGCACATGGGCAAACATGTCAAATGTCTTTCACTTTGAGGACTTCAAGATTTAAATCATTGAATGCTTTATTTAAAAATAGATTCTTCCTGGGGCTGGAGAGATGGCTCAGAGGTTAAGAGCATTGGCTTCTCTTCCAGAGTACCTGGGTTCAGTTCCCAGCACCTACATGGTTCCAGGTGATCCAGCACAGGTGATGCCTAACACAGGCATACATGTAGGCAAAACACCAATGCACATAAAATAAAAATAAATACATTATTTAAAAATTGGCTCTTCCCAAAACAAAATAGTGTACAGTTCTGTGGCTTAGAAACAGCCAAAAAAAAAACATAATAAAAGAATTGGAGATCCAAAATTGTGATTCCTAGCATGCAATACTGGTGCTGAACTCTTATCAGTTTCACTCACATTTGTTAAGACGATGGTTGGGCCCATGGAAAGATTTTATCTGAATTTCTTTCCTCTGATGCCACCCTTCCTGGAAGATACAGGAATGATGATGGCTTGGCAGTCCAGCATCTGACTTTTAAATTTTTTTTCAAATATTCAGAAATTCTACTGTTTGTATTCACAAGCAAAGTCGGAGTACTTTTAAAGACAAAGCATGTGACTATTACAAGATGGTGTCCTGGACTGTGCCTTCATTCTCTGACATCTGTGAGAAGGAAGTCTTTAGTAGTGACAGCAGTGGGAAAGCCCTGCCCTAGAGACCCCGATTTCTGAGGTCCTTCCTTACTCACAGTGATTACAAATAAAATTCAATGCTGTGGCTTGTTCACTGGAGTCACCTGGTTTTCTGCTTCCGTATATACAGTCCTATCCATACTGATTAGGGAAGAAGTCAAGGAAGGAACTGTGGACTGCTTTTTAATTTCACATTGCTTAATAATTAGAGGATTACATTGCCAACAAAAGTCACTAATTTACAAGCAAAAGTATACAACATAAGTCATGAAAAAATAATGGAATAGTGAAGTAAAAGGTGAGAACTTGAGTTGATGAAAATGATAGAACAGTAATGTAATTCTGTGTCGTTTCAGCCTTCTATTAGGGCTTTGTTGTTGTTGTTTTGTTTTGTTTTGTCCCCCCCAACAGAGTTTCTCTTTGTTGTCCTGGCTGTCCTGGAACTTGCTTGTAGACCAGGTTGGTCTCGAACCTAAACTATCATTTTTTTCTTTACTTTGGTGGGATGGGTTAGTGTCTAGTACCTTTCTGAGTTATTACCTATATTATTTCATCTATGATCCCCTATCCAATAGGCCAGTGGCTCTCAACCTTCGATAGCAACCTCTTTGGCAAACTTGTATCTCCAAAATTATTTATGCTATGATTATTAACAATAGCAAAACTACAGTTATGAAGTAGCAATGAAAATAATTTTATGGTTTGGTGACGACATGATCACAAGGATGAACACAAACTGCCTGCCCACAATAACTACTTTTCAAATACAGTCAGTGTCATTTTCATATAAATACATCTATAAGGATCAAAATGAACTTGCATGAGGTGAGTTCACAAAGCTTTTAGAAAAGAGATGACGTTCAGAAGGCCATATAAGGAAAAGATCACCAACAAATTGTCACCCAACACAGGAAATATTAAAAATAAGTCATATTTCAATTTCACTGAAAAGGAATATAATTATGCCCCAGGGTTTTTTTTTAGAAAGAATAACATTCTTTTTTCTGGAATAATAAGTTTCTAGGATAATAATCTTATGTAATGGTTGTTAAATAAGAAATCAAGGACCAGTGAGATGACTCAGTAGGTACCATAGCTCACTTCCAAGACTGGCAGTCTGAGTCTAATCCTGAGCAGTAAGCATTGCTGAAGGAGAGGACTAACCTCAAGATAAGTGTCCTCTAGCCACACACACACACACACACACACACACACACACACACACACACACACACACAGTGGCAATACACCGTGCATACACACACCATAAATAAAATTCTTTAAAATTTAAAAACTTGGAAAACAATAGAGGAGGCTGGGTGAAGAACCTATAGGAAGTCTGTGAAATACTTTTGTAATGTTAATTCCTATCCCTGATGTGAAAGGAGGTGGCTCAAGGTATTTAGCAATTCCTTTAAAGAGAAAAAAAAAAAAGGTCTGCACTCTTACATTATGTGACAAGTTAGGCATCCTTAACCTGAAAGTTCAAACTCCGAAGTGCTCCAAATCCCAAAACTCTGGAAAACTATCTCATATGATAGACTACGATCAAGATACATGAGTACTAAAAATATAAAATTACCTACAGGCATATAGAAAGCATAAGTGGATTTTGTGCTTCGGCTTGGGTCTCAATCCCATGAAATCTTATTACTCATATGCAAATATTCCAGCAGTTAAAAATTACAAAATCTGGAGCACTCCCGGACCCAGACATTGGATGTGAGGTGTGGTCCTTCCTTCATCTCATCTGCTCTCCATGTTCCTACAGCCTCTTCTATCTAATGAGCGTAAGCTCGTGAGCCCTGCTTTGTCTTTCCCTCAGAGCTTCAGTTGCCTGTTGGAATGAGCTCCCCAGGGTCCCAGGCACCTTAAGGTCGATTTGACAAAAATGGAATTAGGCATCATTCCCACTACTTGTACCGCATTAGTTGTGAAACACACCACCTGGGGCTGTGGAGATGGTAAGTTGCTTGCTTTAGGATCTCTTGGGAGTTGGCTTTGCCTCCCTCACCAGTGCCCCTGCTGGACACCCAGTGTTCACTACTTCAGTCTCACACAGCCAAAGTTGTCCCAGCGCCAACCTATTCCTTGATTTCCAGCTTTGAGTCATGATGCTGTGCCCTTTGAAAGCAGTCCTCCTAGCACTCTGTCACCTGTGAGTTTCCCTTTGTTAATGCAGAAGTTACTTCAGGAAGTAAACGCCGTAATTTCTGATGTCAATATAAGAGGCTCTTCTCTGAACTCTTGGGAGTTGTATGCCTGCCTTGTTTTGTTTTGTTTGGGGATTTTGGGGGGGAGGTTGGGGCTTTTTGTTGTTGTTGCTGTTGTTGGCTCGTGGTTGCTTTCATTTGTCTTCTGTGCTACATTCAGTGTTTTGTAATTAAAGGGTTGAACAGTAGTCAGTTACATATACTACGGATGAACACTAGGGGTCAGTCGTGTTTCGTAAGTAAATGAAGGAACAGCAGTCCGTTGCAGATACTCCAGGTGAACACCAGGGGTCAGTCGTGTCTTTTAGGTGAGCAAATGAACGGCGGAGACTCAGCTGTTG